AAGGATGCAGTAACGCTGACAGCATCTTTGCTCGCGGCTTCCAGCAGAATAAATGGAAGCAGCGTATTAGGGAAAGCAGCTGGCTAACGTGCTAAAAGGCCCCAGCCTAATATACACACACGGATAAAGAGTTTATCCCCTTTGCATTTTCAGTCCTCACTAATTTTAAGCCTTTCCTTCCCAGAGGTCGCGGCAGTTCACAGTTGGGATTTGGCCCCACCACCAGCGCACGTCGTAGGGTGCCCAGCACGCCGCTACCCTGCGCGGGAGGATGCAAGGGCTGGGTGTCCCCCCTGCCCCTTAAAGCATCCCTGTAGGAACCCCCATTTCCCTCCTGCCCAGGCGGGTGGAGATGGAGACGCCTGCATCCGCCACGGGTCCGACTTGCCCCAGCTGGTGAAGCCCCACCAAACCAGCCTCCCCATCACCTTGCACCCGTTGTCTTTGCCAGGAAGAGCCCGTACCTCGTATTTTCCTTCATTCTCCTTCTTCATCTTCTCGACGTCCAACAGAAGCGACCAGACCTGGCCTCGCACCTGAAGCGGGATCCCTTTGTATACTCGCCGGCACATCTGCGGGGAGGGAAACGTGTGCAAGGTTAGGTGGTCCTGCTGGTGGCAGAACAGATTTTCTCCATGGTTTGCTGCTGCGGACCACCAGCCACCTGAGCAGACACCCCAGCTGATCTCTTCCTCTGCCTGCGCTGGCGCAGAGAGGGCATCTCCAATCTCTTCCATTGAAGACACCTACTCAGTCAAAATCAAGCCACATCTCATGCTTTTAACCTTACTGGAAGAGCTGGACATGGACCATCCCCTTTATACGTGGAAACATCTCAGGTGTTTCGCAGCCATCACATTCCGTGTACACCAGCCTGCCCCTGGACTCCTCTCCAAGGACCAGATGCAGCACCCTTGGCTTTGAAGTCTTCGATCTGGCATGGCATGGCTGTTCTCACCTGGATCCTCAGGGATTGGGAGAAAAATACATTTCCCCTTCAATAGGAGAACCCTTACCACGAGAGCCACAGGGACGTGTCCACAGCAACTCTCACGGCTTGACAAGCGGCAAAGGATACTGTGGGCTACGCCAAGGGCTCTCCCCTGAACGTGCAGGGTACTCCTCAAGCGAGGAGGGGGACTGGGGACAAACGTGCACGTGTCCCTCCTCCTGCCTCCACACGTTCACTTCATCTCACAGATGCCTCTTCCCTTTTTTCTTGTCATAAAACCGTCTCTCTGGAGAGAACATTAAATTTCAACGGAAAACAGAAAAAAGAGCTTTTGTTCCATCCCTGACTTCTCCCATTAAAAGATAAAGCTTCATAAAAAAGAAAAAAGCCTCATTTCTGAATGTTTTCCACCCTTCCATTCATCCCACCCGTGAAACGCCTTGCAGCTGCACTACAAAGCCAACCCCGGCACTCCTCCAGGTTCCTGAGGACCCTGGGGTATGCTGAAGGATCTGCTGCAGGTGCCCAAGCTCCAGCCGTGGAGAGGATTTATGCTGTGACACGGCGATCCCTTGGGACTGGGCAATCCCTTGGGAGGGGACAGAGGTGCTGGATTCCTGGTCATGGGAATGAGCTTGGGGCTGAGCAGGGCAGTGCCCAACCAGGCAATCAACTGGAGCTACTGGCACTGCCTGGTACAAATGCATGCGACCTCCTTCAAAATCCCTCTTCTCTTTCCATAGGGTGTTCTGCTTCACGCGTTTCAGGCTGATGGAAGAGAAGGGCTGCAATTCACAGGGAAGCATCTAGATCCTAGCAGAAGGTTTTCTGGACGTGGTCCTGCCGCGTTGCCTTTGCATCTCTTACAAGCTGAACATCTGCTTCTGTTACCTTTCCTTTCTGACCCATCTCGCATCATCAGCTTTTTCATTTCTAGTTTGACTTTTTAACGCCAGCCTATGCACAAGTTTCTAAAGACCATAACCATGGCACTGCATTGTCAACCCACCTGGGCTCGCAGCCTCCAAGAGCACAGACCCATGCTCCTCGTTTCGTTACCGTCTGCACGACAGCACCGTGCCTACCGAGAGCAAAACACAGCAACGATGGCTCTTGTCCCAGAGAGCCAGTACAAGACGAGACAGGAGGTGGGGTTCAAGTAGACAGGCTAGGGGACAGCAAAGAAATAACACCACTACCCCAGTCAAAATAAGTATATAAAATAGCTACGTAATAAATGCCAAGACCACCATGTAGTACTAGGAGAGCTACATGTGTTAGAACACTTTTCCACCACGTTATGGTAAATATTTCAGTATTTCTGCTGACATAGAAAGTGTCAGTGTAATGTATCCTGATCCTGCAAGTGTAATGGACATTCAACATTTAAAACCCCACTCTCAGCACAAACGCTTGCCCTGCCCCAGGTGTTGCTTAGCACCAGCTCTGAAGGTCCAATGCATAGCCAGGACCATACCCTACAGAAATCCTTTGCAAGATCCTCCCCTCTGTAGCACCAAATAAGAGCTGCCCCCTAAAAATCACCTCACTGCCAAGATGTGCCCATGGAAGGCCACCACCCTATTCAACAGCATCCCGCATTTTAAGCGGGACATCACTAATTCACCATCTGCACACCCAGGGGAGCCACTCCTGCTCGTCCAAGCTCACATGAGGAAGCGCTTCTGGAGGACAGCAAACCTTCACGCCATGCTGGACAGCTTCATCCCCACGGCTGAAAGACCAAGGAGACAAACAAGAGATTCCCATTCCCCGAAAGTCATTAAATCAGGACAAAAGAAGTGCAATGCATCAGGAGACACAAAGCGACGGGGTTAGATGAACCACGTCCCCAAAGTGGTACCGGTAAGGCGCCCACAGAAGCCTGGCTCCCGCAAGCGCTCGTGACTTCATGAAGCAAAAGCTGAGATGGGATCAAGAAACTGGAGTATGTACCAATCCAGATAAAATCACCAATTCAGAAAAAAATTATTTCTTTCCGATGGATTAGGAGAGACTGACTGACAGCTGCCAAGGCGGAAGATGATGCTCAGCTCCGTGGGAAGAAAATAATTTTGTTTCGAATCCCCAGAGCTGGTATTGTTGTACTTTAATAAGTGCAACCCTCATTGGCATATAGTAAATGTCTCTAATGATTTTCTCCACATGAGAGTATGGCAGGAACAGGGGAGTTACAAAACATGCTGAGATGGAACTGAACTGAAATGCCTCCCTGTTATTTATCCAACGGCTTTCCTCCTCCCACCGCCTCCAGACGTGAAAGTGATAAAACCTCAGAGCTGTGAGTCACGCGGAGGAAAAATGAGCAATTTTCCTTCGTCGTGGAACTTGAAGAAAAACAGGGAAGTTATCATTAAAAGCAGCATTTATGCTGGGATGAACTGACGGAGGGAAGGCAGCAGGTGATGGCAACTCCTGCTCCATGCGAGAAGGAAAAACAACCCTCAGGGTCACCACCTTCTGTCTCCTATAAACAGCTCAGCCCTTACAGATGGGAAGAGGGCACCTAGACCATGCCCCATGCAGACTGACAGACAGACCAGCGCACGGCAGGAAGAACGGACATCATCCTGTTTGACAAACGGAGATGCTGGTGGTTGAAGCGATGGCTCAAGGTGCTGTGTAGAAAAGCTGTGTCAGAGCCAAGGACTGAACTCACGGTGTTTAAAACTTGCTCCGGGTTTTGCCATAGGATCATCTTCCTTCTCTAGGCTTTAACGTACAAAGCTCGCGGCACAGAGGCCATCGTCACCCCATCCCCATCTCTCCCCTCCCCATGTACTTTCTTTCCAGTAGATGGGATGGGGAAGACTATAGAAGTACAGACCTGAGCTCCATCTTCCTGCATCAGAGATCTCTGAGAAGTACCCAACCAAGTGCTCCAGGTCTTTAATTAGAGGGGTGGAGTCATTGCCTTTAAACACCGGACATCTTCTCGCAGTAGTTAAGACACTGAAGTTAAAAAGGGCTTGGGAGGGGTGGGTTGGTTTTTTAAAGCAGACTGTACACATTTCAGCCCACTTTCACATTTTGGAGCCTGCCACTGTTAGCTTCTCAGCCATGTGCATAGTTCACCAGGAAAAGACTGCAGGAGTAATGCCCAAATTTTGGGTATGCATGGCAATTTCATAGAATCATTGAATCATAGAA